CTGATTCCCGGACGTTATATTAACTGGCATTATCCATGGAAATGACAATGACGTTGTTTAAAATGAGCAATAGCTGAAGTTCCAACCAGTCTATGAACACATGGCCTCCTATGATTTCCTTATGAAAATCATCCATCCAGCAATAAGCCCCATATCATGGGTTGCGGCGTGTAAAACAATGACACGATTACCTTTACCTGATGCTACCATGGGTGCTTTTTGTCCATCTGCCGATAGCCACGTGTAGTCAGTGGAATGATTCATCAAGGTAAGTTATCTGGACGCCCTGACTGTGATAGTTATGAATGTTCCGGAGATAATGTGACCTCATAGACAGGATGGAATATTTCCCCTGACAACTACTCGGTCATCGGCACGCGCAGTGTATCGAAATCCAATCTCTTGGAGAGCAATAGTTTGTGCAGTCCGGGAAACATTCATTGTATCTTTAATTTATTTCCAATTGATACTACAAGTCAGGGTTAGCTTCTGCTCATAACGCGTGTACACTATACGCCTAAACACTGTATCAAAGCTGTCTAATATCCTTTCACGTCCCTGTTTTGTTTTTGAGACCACCCCTACACCTGTGTTGTTTTATTCATCATACCGTAGACTTGATGGTATGAAATGAAAACCCCATAGCTTGGGCAGTTCGGTAAATCACCCTATCTAAATTAATAAATGTATTTCCTCTATCTCTTTAAAGTGTAAAGAAGTGTATACATTCCCCAATACTGACTCCATATCGTGCACCATGCCTGTGGCTATGCAAGCGTAAAATATAACATGCATCATGGGAGCAATGTTAACGAAACAAACGCAGCGTCATTTTGTCATTTTAGAAGATGCACATCTAGAATTTTCTCCAAATGATTTTTGTGTGTGGATTAATGATTTATGAAGGCTTCATTATTATTATCATCATAACGGAGTCACGTGCGCATATATCTATAGTCCGTTTCAGACTGCCATCATTGAACTTGTGAACTTCCTGTTCGAATTTGTCGCCTGTAAACTTGTCGATATGACTCCTTGTGACTTGAATACTTCAAACCACATGTAGGTCGATCGGTAGTTACTCGATATTTCGATAACAACAGTCTGTGAAAAATTATATCCTTTATAACTGGCAAAAAACATTGTTCTAGCTTTTCCGACAGTACTTTAATGCTGGGGCATATTGCTAACTTCTACCCTGTGAGAGCCGTAGGAGACATATGGCAAGTTATTCGTCTACAAAGTGGTTTCTAATCGTCAGGATCACACATTCACGATTTTTTGTGACAAAAAAACTACGAACGACCAGACGACTTTTATCAACGCTTATCTTCATCATCAAAGATAACTTGTATGAGAATAGACGTACGTCGCATCGTGGTGACATTATTTCAGAAGATGAGAAGTTACGCGTTTTAACCCCAAGTTGCTAAGACTGTGAAACAAAGGTATGGTTCGAAATCAGGTCTCGTACTCTTGCCTCTCTCAAACCGGAAATTTCATGAGCAGTTGATATACTTCTTGATGAAGTGCATTCATCAGAGGATGCCAAAGTTAGGGTTGCGACAGGGTCTCATCTGGGCAAATTTCGCCATACTCAACGTTCTCAACGTCAGTGAGTGAGCGAGTGAGTATGGTTTTACGCCACTTTTAGCAATATTCCAGCAATATCACGGCGGGGGACACCAGAAATGGGCTTCACTAATTGTACCCATGTCGGGAATCGAATCCGGGTCTTCGGCGTGACGATCGGACGCTTTAACCACTAGGCTACCCGACCGCCCCCTCAACGTCAGCAACGACTTGGTGGTCAACGTTTTCAGAAAACAGTAGGGTGTAACATAGACCAGTATCTGCCTGAATCTGCCCGGAAGTACATGGCCATTCTTTAACATGTCTTAGAGTGTTGAAAATGAGCACAAGTAGTCCCTTAGAGATAGATAGAATCCGAACAAGAACCCTGTTGCTGTGCGATGCATCCAAGAACTGGAAAAAGGAACTCCTTTTCTTGACCCCACAGAGGCTCTGTCTCCCTTTACGTGATCAATTGCCACTGCACAATTAACATCTCGAATTCGTTTATGAGGATTATCTTCTCGAGAACTGCTGCTACAGCGGGGTCAGTTAAGCAATGTACAAATACCAATGAACGATCGAAACCTCATCCTAGACCAACCCAGCAAATGGTTCATAAATCACTCATCCAGTGAACTTTCAAAGGCTCCACTTCCTAAAGTGTTGGCTAGCCCTAGTGTTGGCATTGGGGATCTGTTGTATTTGTATGGTGACGAAAACAAGTCTAAAACCTGTGATCGTTCTGTGGTTGTTACTTCTGATGGTCAGTGCTGTAACCAATCTCATTAAAATCAGATCTAAGTTCTCGCTGCCGCTAAACAAAGATCTGAGGACATCCCATTACGGGTCACTTCAGAGCGACCTTGCGCGAACTTTGACTGACCAATGGAATGACCAATCAGAAGGCAGCTTTCTTGTGCTTTATGGCACTAATTTCAAATTGGCGACTACGCTTCGAAACATATTTTGACAAATTCTCGATTAAAAATTTGAAAACTGAACAAACGAACATTCTGGAATCGCTAATAGATGGTCCAGATTGTATGGATTCAGTCGTTGAACCCGCAACTATCGTTCGGAATACCCCGTGTTAAAGTTTTCGAGGATGCATGATTAGAAATCACATTCTGACTGTCACTTTCATGATCTGGTAAGCGACGCTCTGATTGGTCGGATAACAGGTCGTTCTGACGTGACCCTCCTGTAATATCCTCAGATCCTTTTTTAGCGATAGCGAGAACTAAGATTTGATTTAATGAGATTATGCTGTAACATTCTAAAGTTCGAAGTTACGTAACTTCGGAGCGCCCCTTAGTCAAAAGGTCTGACCGTTACAAATTGCCAAAGAGCTCTCACTGACTGTCTCGAACGGTGAAGATTCCAGAGAGGCGACTAACGGGATCAGGTGGTCAGGCTCGCTGACTTGCTTGATACATGTCATCGTATACCAGTTGCGAAGATCAATGTTATTGATGTCAATCACTGGATTGTCTGGTCCAGACTCGATTATTTACAGACCGCCGTCATATGGTGGAATATTGCGGCATAGTGGAGTGCGGCATTAAACAACAGAGAATCAAACAAATCTAACCTAAGAGGCATCCTGTCGATAACATCATACTACAGTTGACTACGGTTATAACGAACTCGAGGGGGCCACTAATTTTAGTTCGTAATAACCGTAGTTCGTTATAAGCATACATACAGCATGTATACAACAAATGGTCGGGACTAAAAGTAGGTTCGTTATATCCATCAGTTCTTTATAAGCGTGTTCGTAATAAACGTAGTTCACTGTATAAAAATGCGCACAGATCTGTGCTTTCCCGCAACAACCCTCCCAAGCTTACAATCTAGTGAGATCATAGTGAAAGACCATTGCGGTTCTACTCACATTCACTTAGCTGTAAGCAATGTATAACCTGTGGTGAAATGGGAATTAATTCATTCATTTTAGTGAATCACTGACGATTTAACTTTCATTATTTTCATGCTGATATATTGACCAAAACTATGTCATATACAAATATACGGATACACCACAGTTAGCATGATTAGTGTACATCGAGTTGTGCACGGAACATAGAAAACTCACCAGTAGACTGGTTCATCAGGGTGCCCCGAGATTGGAAGTTTCCAGTTCTCGGGTATGCATTCGTGACCAAATCGTATTATTCCGCGACAAGCCTTCTTGCAGGTTATGGAAAGGGGCGAGTGGTGACGAAGTATGTGCTTCACCTTCTCGAGTGTCCATCTGACTTGAAGTTCAAGGTCAAGGTCAGTAACTATTTCTGGCAGAGAAGAATTATCTTTCAGTTTCTTCTGTTGGAACACCTATGCACGTGCAAATGAATATCTTGACACGTGCAATTCTATTGTAAGTCATGCGATTCACGGATATGAACAATTATGACAAACAATAGAACTCGTGTGCAACAATTACCCTGTCTGTCGCTCGGCATTAAGGGGATAAAACTAGCCTTATGTGTCTGAGTGAGTGTGTATCACGTGTGGGCTAGTAATGAAACCGGCATTAGTCCGGACTAGTACAAGCAGCCACATACGTGCATGCACGTGGCCATATATATGAAAAAACCTTGAACGCGACTTCAAACCCTATTTCACGTCACACAGTGTTTTGTACCGTAAATACCAGATCGGATGACTTGACTGTGTTCTAACTAGTTGCTTATACGATCAACCACTGGTTTGCCTTCCCCAGACTCGTAAAACTATATTCACTGAGTAATGGCGGCACGTGGTCTTGTGTACAACACACAGGTCACAGTTTATAAAGCAACGTTAGTCGCGGAGAGTAGGTGGATGGATCGACCACGCCCTAGTCGGCAAGCTTGATTTCTGAGAAATTCCAGGGTTCGGTCCTGCACCACACTCTAACACAGGTTGTATGTATTGTCTCTTTGACCAAGAGAACATACCTCTGAGCGTCCAGCAGTGAATGGGCACCCAGTAGGATGAGGTGGTATGACCGTTAACCTTCCAGCGCCTCACCAGGTAGCCCGGTGTGTATACTCCCCAGGGAGCTGAGTATGAATCACCCATGGACCGGTGTAATATTTTAGCAGTGCCATGAGCATTCACTTGATTAACGGAATGACGCGTTATAAATAGACTACTGCCACAACGACTACTACTACTACTACTACTCTCGGAATCGGATTCCTGTTCTTCCCGATTATGTTTCTAGATTTACAAGCACCATATCCGTGGTCGTGGGTTTCACCATAGTGGTAATATAACCGTCTATTACCTGCATCACTTCGGGATTTCCTCCCACATGAAGCTGACCCGCCTTACCTGACATACTTTCAAAGCAGCGTTAAACCCAACTCACTCACTCACTCACTAGTAATGATGTATAAAGACCTTGAGACTACTGATTTGACAAAACCAAACCAAATTCATTGAAGTTTTATAATAATTTTATTGTTCCTTCGTGTTAGTTTATGAAACAAAAGCCGATGATTAGCCCTGCTTCAGTTGAGGAACATGTCGAATTTGAAGCTGAGGTTGTTGTCCGACATGTCGAAGTTGAACCGGAAGCAGGCCAACGCCTCCCGGTAGTTTTGATTGGCCAGCTGGAGTCGGATCTGTTCCCGGGTGCAGTTGGCCCTTAAAGGTGTTATCGGAGGCTGAAAGAATCAGAAGGTAGAATTAAAATACTAGTCCTGGTTAAAACATTCACATGAGAAAATTTATAGGGGTTTTAGGTCACCCTCGATTATGCGGTGTACCCATTCCATTTCAATATGAGGAAGTGAGTGAGTTAGGTTTAACGCTGCATTAAACAGTATTTCAGTTCAATCACGGCGTGTCAGCTTGACGTAGATGGAATTTCTACAGAAAATATCCCTGGGACAGAGGGAATTTCTACAGAATATCCCTGGGATAGAGGGACTTTCTGTAGACTGTCCCTGGGACAGAGAAACTGTCTACAGACTATCCCTGTGACATTGGCCCTGTAAAACAATAGTATGATGTCACTCGATGTTATAAATAGTAATTTCACCAGCTACATTAGTCAGCATGAATTTGGATGAAGATACTTACCCTGATGGTCGTCATCACTCCAGTATCCTCACCATCATTATCAAAACTCCCGGGACACGCCCTCGGCATCCTGACAGAGGGACGCTGGCACTGGCTGATGCTGCCTGGGTTCAAGTTCTGGAGCTGGTTGGGGGCGAAGCAGTGCTGTCTGCCGGAGAACTTGGTTCCGCGTCTGTACAGCTCTACTTTGTCGCAGTTACACGGCGTTGTCAGGTACTGCACCGACGTCAGTTCCTCCAGGGTGTTGCAGCCGATGTTCATGACGGAGCCTCTGCTGATCTGGGAAGACTGGAAACTGTAGGTCGGCATGTCAAAGGCATAGCTCATCAGATTAGTGATGTTGGTGTACTGCATCCTCAAGGTGCGACTGTAGATGATGTCCTTGAATGCATACGATTGGATGGTGAAGATCTTCGCATAAGTGAAGATTAGATTGTTCAGACCGGTCAGGTTGTGGAAGGCGTAGGATTCGATGGTGGTGATGTTGGAAGAGGAAAACGAGATTTGGCGGTTGATGTTTTTGGCCAAGTTGCTGAACGCGCCTCCCCTGATATTGTTGATGTTTACTCGGTTGAAAGTTACTGAAGCGGGGATATCGGAGAATGCACAGCTCTGTATGGTGCCGATAGATCCATAAGTAAAGCTTATAGTCTTCAGATTGGGGCGTCCATGGAATCTTCCGCTAGGAATCTCGGTCAAGTTTGAATAATAGAAATAGACCGTGGTTATATGGGAGGGGATGTATGTTGGGAAGGAGTAGAGGCGCCGGCAGCTCATGGCGTTGTTGGTGGAGCACGAGCATCCAGATGGACACCCGACCTGGGCAGCTGCGAACTGGACACACAGACAGACGCACAGTAGCAGCACGATGTTTCCCGAAGACATCTGTGAAGGAACATTTGTGGAAATATACACAAAGGCAAAACATATTGATATTTGTACTGGTTGTTTAGTGTGTGTGTGTGTGCGTGCGTGTGTTTGAGAGGAAGAGGTGAGTGTGTTTTGAAGAGGGGAAGGGAGGCAAACGGTTGACTCAGACGTACTGGATCAGACAATCCAGTGATTAACATCATGAGCATCGATCTAATCAATTGGGATACGATGACATGCATCAACCAAGTCAGCGAGCATGACCATCCGACCTCGTTAGTCACCTCTTACGACAAGCATTGGTTACTGAAGACCAATTCTAACCCGGATCTTCACGGGTATTATCATTTGGTGACACCCACGAGCACGGCTGTGGCGCTGATAAGCCAAGAAACATTATCGAGTCGACCCGGGATTCGAACCTACAAACATAGGTTTCTGGCGTGCCCAAGGGACGCAACTCCGCTAGCGAATTGCGGTTCCAGAGACGAATGAGGCACTCTTACCCCCCTTTCTGTGAAGGAAGGAATCGAATAAATTATTTCACATGTAATTTTGTTCTTAAGGAAAAAAATGTATTTTTAAATATATCAAACATTTTCAAGAAAAGATCCGTCACTAATATGTTTAATGTTTAATGGACATAACATAGTAGTGAATGGAATGGGTTTTACGCCTCTTTTTAGCAATATCCAAACAAAAACACGGCAGAGAAAACTAGAAATGGGCTTAACACATTGTGGAATCGAACTCGGGCCTCCGGCGTGACGAGCGAACTGTTTAACCACAGGGCTACCCCACCGCCCCTAATAACACAGTGACATAGAAATAGAAAGAGTTCTTACAATACATCCAGACGTTCCTAATATACATCATTCGGAAAGCGAGGTGTCCGGATAAGCGAGGTCAAGACTAATTAAGTGTCACTGGGTATTCTATACAATATATGTACAATATACAATGTATATTCAATACAATCATAACTTTCTGATAATAACTTACACTCGGTGCAATATTATCTACACATGGATACACCGAAACCTTGCTAACTCGAAATCCGTTATCTCAGGGTATGGCCTCAAACGTTGCTACCTTAGACACCCGGCATAATCTGTTACGGGCACTCTGGTCTCATTTCGTTACGTTGTTTTGCATGGTAAGCCCGATATATCTATCACACCGAGGGGTCATCAAGTTAAGCCGGTTTCAATTGTGTTGGGTAAATGCCAAAAACACGGCCAGTGCTTCAGGCCATGCAATAACTGTTCTCTGCTAGCAAAACATCTTTTTTTAGGACATCAGGCATCTCCAGTGAACAATTGTTGTTGTTTTTAAATAAAGCTACCCACTACCCGCCACCCCTTACTGATAAAACATTCCAGTATTCGCAGTTAACGTGTTGGATGAGCCAAATGCCTTTATGTGACTACCATTAACTGTTTGATTGGCAGCAACTCATGCTTGCCCCAAGAGGCGTCTATGCTTGTCGTAAGAGGCGACTAACGGGGTCGGGTGTCAGGCTCGCTGACTTGGTTGATGCATGTCATCGTATCCGAATTGCTTGGATCGATGGTCATGATGTCAATCACTGGATTTTCTGGTCTAGACTCGATTATTTACAGGCCGCGGCTTAAGCAACAAACAAACAAACAACGGCCGTAATCCCCCTCCTAACAACCAACCACTCAAAGGAGTGATCTATATGATTAATTGTGATTGTGGTGACTCGTACATGGATGAAACCCTGCGCCCATTAGCCACCCGCATCAAAGAACATAAAACTTCAACAGCCAAAACAGACAACAAATCAGTCCTCTCAGACCAGCAGCAAAAATCCCCCTTCCATCAAGTTCAGTTTGACAAAGTCCACATCCTCTCTTATATCTATCAAGCTGTAGTTTTTTAAGCGACTGCCACTGCGCTACATAAAACATGGCAATCCCAACTTGCCACCAGCTGCTTTAAATCAGTAATTATAAAGACGTGATATCTTTAACATAATTTAATTTGTATCCTTATCTTTAACATACATAAGGGTAATAGAAATGACTATTATATGAAAAATGTAAAAAACCTACCATTTTGGGTGTTCTAGCTGACACACCTGTTATTGGGTCTTGCAATCTGAATGAAGACACACACAGCTCACGAGAAAGACAGGGTGTTTTATATATGTACAAGACAGACGTCAACCTGTCAATCACACGCATCAAGGCGGAGATATAATACCCGGATCCTCACCAGCAGTCACGTGCTGATTCGCTTACTTCGAACGCAATCACGGTTGCTTCATCTCATCTGACGGAATTTTGAGGAATTTATACAATTTACAGTGTTCGCTCTGTTTTGTTTTTCGATCACAATAATGATGACTTTCTGGACAGTGGTACACGAAATAATAACAAACGTTTTGTTTCATTTCTTTTAAAATATTCACATGTATCATGGCAGAATTTAACGTTATCCCACAGCCAAGATAAATATGATTCATATTTCTAGTATTTTATTGATATAGATTGCGGCGTTAGTTCACGATATATGCATACGTTCAAATTAATATGTCCGGTTTCAAAAGGATTAAAATCATTTAAGTTTATAAACAGATATTATACCACGAGCTCGTAGGAATCAGAATTCGTGCTGTGGCCTAACAGCGACACTTCGCTTATCTCGAACTTCGAGGTAATGCGGTTTTACTATACCTAACTAAATATCGTGAGTATAAATTCTGTGTTAATTGGTATAAACTCTGAATAGCTCTCTCCAAATCGATAACACGGCGTCGTCGAGTCGATTCATCGTTTATGACGAATAACTCGATATATTGTTTTGTATTAATTACGATTGAGAGTTTCACAAAGGACAAGTGATCACGATCCACAAGTTGTATTTCAGAGACAGAGAGAGAGCGAGAGGAAGAGAGAGAGAGAGCGAGAGGGACACACAGAGAGAACGGTCACGGTCACGTGCTGATTCGCTTACTTCGAACGCAATCACGGTTGCTTCATCTCATCTGACGGAATTTTGAGGAATTTATACAATTTACACTTATGTATCTTTCTTTCAGTGTTCGCTCTGTTTTGTTTTTCGATCACAATAGTGATGACTTTCTGGACAGTGGTCGACGAAATAATAACACACGTTTTATTTCATTTTTATAGATACATGTCTCATGCCAGAATTTAACGTTATCCAACAGCCCAGATTAATATGATTCATATTTCTAGTATTTTATTGATACAGATACCGGCGTTATTTCACGATATATGCATACGTTCAAACTGTTCATGTCCGTTTACGAAAGGATTGAAATCTTATAAACAGATATGATTCCACGAGGCGTAGGACTCAAGTTTATGTACGATTAAATCCCCCGTATGGTCCCGGCACAATACGTTCTGTGGTCTAACAGCGAGACTTCGCTTTTCTCGAACAGCGGCTAACTCTATATGTTCCCAAGAACTTCGAGATAAGAGAGAGAGAGAGAGAGAGCCAGAGACAAAGAGAGAGCGGGGGGGCACACAGAGTAAGTGAGTGAGTGAGTTTGGTTTAACGCCGCTTTCAGTAATATTCCAGCAAAATCCCGGCGGGGGACACCAGAAAGAGAGAGAGAGAGGGTGGGGGGGGGGTGGGGGGGGGGTGGGGGGGGGGGGGGGCTGTCTCCGTATACCTTTTCCTTTTGACTGAATCACCAGCCATGAAAAACGAAGGGGAGGGGGGGGGGGGGGGGGCATAATACTCATGCTTGTTGTTTTTCAATATTGAGTACAGAGACAAATAGGTAGACATCGTGACATCCTCACCCCCAATGACTAACACTTCCTGGTGTATTCTAACCCTATACTGTGGGAATGTGTACTATTTCTATAATTCTATATGTATGTAAACAGTGTTTATGTGACAGAAATGGCCCCGCCGCCCTCAGCAAACAGCACCACAGTCCCCGTACCCTAACAAGTGATATTTCCTCCTCATAGACCGCAGATTTGGGTTAATAAGGTCGAAAATCTTCATACAAGTCATGTTCAAACTTTTTAATGTACATTTTATACTTGGGGGCACGGGTGCCCCAGTCGTCTTAGGCGCCGCGATTCGCTTTGCAGAGTTGCGTCCCTTGGGCACGCCAGAAACCTATGATTGTGGGTTCGAATCCCGGTTCGCCCCGATTATGTTTCTAGGTTTGTCAGCACCATATCTGTGCTCGTGGGTTTCACCGAAGTGGTAAACGTCTGAGACCGGCATCACTTCGGGCTTTCCTCCCACATTAAGCTGACACGCCGTGATATAACTGGAATACTGTTAAAAGCGGCGTTAAACCCAACTCACTCACTCACTCACATTTTATACTTAAATAACATGTTTATATTTGTATTTACATAATTAATATGCAATCGTGAAACGTGTGTACATGTTGGAATTAAACAATACCTTTACAAATGTCTTTTCGGGACAAGCACAGTGAAATCTCGATACACCTGACCTCGTCAGACCGGTTCATTGACTACCTTTTGACATTTTTTTTTTAAATGTAGAAATACGATTTAATAGTGTTAGTACTCTTTTGGTCACATCCAATTTTCAGGTCTATACTTTCTTTTGTCCGGCAGTTGATAGATGAATAGATAGACGTATTCCGTTTTGGATTTAAACACTTTCATGAACATGTTTAGATCTAAACATGTTTAGGAATGTGTTTAAATGCTAAACGGAACACACGTTGTTACAGAAAATGAAGCTATATTTTAGGCAGTAAAACATTATATATGTACAACTAAAGGATTTGTGTAAAGAACTGTTCATTCAACAATGTATCTCTCTCTCTCTCTCTCTCTCTCTCTCTCTCTCTCTCTCTCTCTCTCTCTCTCTCTCTCTCTCTCTCGGCATTAGTCCGGACTAGCACAAGCAGCCACACACATACACACACGTGCATGCACGTCGCTATATAAGTGCAATAATCTTGGACGCGACGTTAAACCCCATTTCACCTCACCTCACCTCACCTCCCTCTCTCTCTCTCTCTCTCTCTCTCTCTCTCTCTCTCTCTCTCTCTCTCTCTCTCTCTATCTCTCTCTCTCGCTCTCTCTCTTTCATCTATAGTGTTGTATGCATATATATTGAATTTGAAATTGCGAAATTTTTGTAAATACCAGGGAGAGGGCATTCTAAGTTGGAAGAACTTGTCCCCCAATCCCGTTCACTCCTTGTTCTGATCTTAACATGTTTAGGAATATGTTTAAATCAACGGAACACACATTTTGTGTGCTCTAACACACAGGACCTAGACACATGAAATGAGCTGTCGTCTCATAGCCTAAACACAACATATCCATAATCTAAACGTGTTTAGAATTTAAACTTCTTTAAATTCTAAACATGTTACGACCAATTGTATATCATTGTGTATTATCCTAACAATCTGAACATGTTTAGTGAGTGAGCGAGTTTGGTTTTACGCCGATTTTAGCAATATTCGAGCAGTATCAGGATGGGGACATCAGAAAATGGCTCCACACATTGTCTCCATATGGGGAATCGAACCCGGGCCTTCGCCGTGACGAGCGAACACTTTAACCACTAGGCTACTAAACCGCCCCTAAACATGTTTTAAGTGCATATCAATGGGCATAACGTCAAATGTACAATGTATATTGAAATTAGATGTGCAAATCAGGTTCACAGACACTTGCATAACACTTACACCACTTGGTACAATACTAACATGTTCAAATACACCAAGCTCTGTTAATGGCGACTTGAAAAAATGACATTTGTGACGTGAACAATCTACGTTGCACGCCGCCCTCAGCACAGGTTCCTATCCCACTTTTGAAAGTGTTGCGTTCATAAATGCGTTGATACCGTATGACTAATAGTATTTCAATCATCAACAAAACGAAACCTGACAATAAAAGTGTGTCTGATTATTACGATAGATATTTAATGTTTTTAAGTTAGTCCCCATTCTTCCATATCCCTGTTAAAGCCCAAACAAACGTGTTTAGGTTTGAGTTTAGGATCTTAACACATTTTTTCAGTGTATATGCGCACATACATAAGCGCGCAGATGTACACCCCATGAACGTGACAAATGCCCATCGCATAGATTTCACCTCAACATGCATACTCACATTCACCCAGACATGGCCTACACTTACACACCCACAGCCACACCCACCCACTACACCCAAACCAGGGAGCAGGTATGACACATGTGGCCCCGTTCCACAAAGCGATCTTAAACTATGGAATCTGCGATAGTCGTAGCCCTAAGATCGCTTTGTGAAACAGGTCCAGTGTAGTAGCGTGAAGGACTACAAATCAATTTGTCCAGGGACCACTTGCACAAAGCGACCTTAGCGCTAAAATGATCGTAGCATACTTTAACATAGGCTTAAGATAATCTTAACATTAACATTGCTTTTTGTGAGCTGGCCCTGGAATAATTGTACAAAGGGGGGCAACTCCTATTCCTGAATATAGTCTTCCACGAGTCTTACTCACACCATCCTTGCACAGAAGCTTCTTCCATTTGCCTTTAGGCTTTCAAAGATGCTTATTCAAATTGTTGTTATAATTGTATTTCATTTCATCGGCATTGGGGTAAGACACTTGCCTAACATTTATATGAATGGTGGTATTTGTATTTGTAGAATAGATGCTTTCTGTGCTAACAGGTAACAGTTTGACAGGTGTGTAGATTGACATAGGCATATTGAATGAATATCTTGTATAGAATTAACATGTAACATAAGCGTTTGTTACAGTTTAAGCTCTTATCAGTCCCGTTAACGCGAACAATAATCGATCGTCCCTGCTTATTTCAAAACGTTGTTGTACTGGTATTTACTCAGACTCGACAAGAAAATACTCAGGAAAATTACGAGGTTAAAACGATACCAAAGTATGTAACTGAAAGTAAGAAGGGTTTTCACGTTTTGACAAACCACTTGAAACAGGTGCGGTTTGCAGTCCTCGTGTAAATATTAATATTATATTAATCCCCTTATGCAGCCAAAGCTCTATTAAATTATGCGACATATGTAAAGGGGTTAGATTCATTACACTTTTTGTGACTAAAAAGTGTCAAGCATACTTCCAGAAAGGATGTTGTTTACTTTTCTCAGAATTAGGTAAGTAGTATTTTCTCCATCTTCCGGTTACGTGAAACACGGTGTTGCTGCACTGCCTTATAAGGGGATCGTGAGGTAT